GAGGAGGGGACAGGTGAGGACAGGTGAGGAGGGGACAGGTGAGGACAGCTGGGGACAGGTGAGGACAGGTGAGGAGGGGACAGGTGAGGACAGCTGGGGACAGGTGAGGACAGGTGAGGAGGGGACAGGTGAGGAGAGATGAGGAGGGGACAGGTGAGGACAGATGAGGAGGGGACAGGTGAGGACAGATGAGGAGGGGACAGGTGAGGACAGGTGAGGAGGGGACAGGTGAGGACAGCTGGGGACAGGTGAGGACAGGTGAGGAGGGGACAGGTGAGGACAGATGAGGAGGAGGGGACAGGTGAGGACAGATGAGGAGGAGGGGACAGGTGAGGGCAGGTGAGGACAGGTGAGGAGGGGACAGGTGAGGACAGGTGTGGAGGGGACAGGTGAGGACAGGTGAGGAGGGGACAGGTGAGAACAGCTGGGGACAGGTGAGGACAGGTGAGGACAGATGAGGAGGAGAGGACAGGTGTGGAGGGGACAGGTGAGGACAGATGAGGAGGGGACAGGTGAGGACAGCTGGGGACAGGTGAGGACAGGTGAGGAGGGGACAGGTGAGGACAGATGAGGAGGGGACAGGTGAGGACAGCTGGGGACAGTTGAAGACGTGTCTATGTGACAGGTCCATAGAGGATGTTCTGGTTCAGGTCCAACATGTCTCTGGTTCTGGTTCTGGTTCTGTCTCAGTTGGACCTGCAGGCTGGTCAGCAGGTGGTGGTCTACGATCAGAACTCTTCGGACCCGGCCTCTCTGGGTTCTGACTCGTTCCTCAGTGTTCTGTTGGTGAAACTGGAGCGGTCCTTCCCCTCCGTCCACCTGCTCTCAGGTGAGTCTGGACCTGGTTCTGATCCATTTGATCAGGACCTGAACCACATACAGGTTCTGAACCTGAACCAGTTCTGTTCCGGCTCAAGGTTGTTGTCTTGTTCTCAGGTGGATTCTCAGAGTTCTCCAACCTGTTCCCGGGTCTGTGTGAGGACAAGTCCGGTCCAGTTCCGTCCTGCATGTCTCAGCCCTGCCTCCCTGTCTCCACCATCGGACCGACCCGGATCCTGCCCAACCTGTACCTGGGCTGTCAGAGAGACGCCCTGAACAAGGTGAGCCCTTCAGTCCTGATCTAGTCCTGATGGTCCTGATCCGGCTCTGATGGTCCTGATGGTCCTGTTAATTTTGATGGTCCCGATGGTTCTGATGGCCCTCATGGTCCTGATGGTCCTGATGGTCCTGATCCAGGTCTCCTGTCCTCCACAGGACCTGATGGTCCTGATGGTCCTGATCCAGGTCTCCTGTCCTCCACAGGACCTGATGCAGCAGAACAACATCTCCTACGTTCTGAACGTCAGCAACACCTGCCCCAAACCGGACTTCATCCCAGAGTCTCACTTCCTGCGGGTTCCCGTCAACGACTCGTTCTGTGAGAAGATCCTGCCCTGGTTGGACCGGTCCGTGGACTTCATAGGTGAGTGTCCCGCAGGACTTCCTGTCCTCAGGTAAGGTTCTGGAGGCTAAGCCAGAACTCTGCTGTGTTCCAGAAAAAGCCAAAGCGTCCAACTCCAGAGTCCTGGTCCACTGCCTGGCAGGTGTCTCCCGCTCCGCCACCATCGCCATCGCTTACATCATGAAGAGGATGGAGCTGTCCCTGGACGAGGCCTACAGGTGAGGTGTACAGGTGACAGGGTGTACAGGTGATGTGTATAGGTGACAGGTGTAAAGGTGACAGGTGACCAGGTGTACAGGTGACAGGGTGTACAGGTGAGGTGTACAGGTGACAGGGTGTACAGGTGATGTGTATAGGTGACAGGTGTAAAGGTGACAGGTGACCAGGTGTACAGGTGACCGGGTGTACAGGTGAGGTGTACAGGTGACCAGGTGTACAGGTGAGGTGTACAGGTGAAGTGTACAGGTGAGGTGTACAGGTGAGGTGTACAGGTGAGGTGTACAGGTGACCAGGTGTACAGGTGACAGGGTGTACAGGTGACAGGGTGTACAGGTGACAGGGTGTACAGGTGACGTGTACAGGTGACCAGGTGTACAGGTGACAGGGTGTACAGGTGACAGGGTGTACAGGTGAGGTGTACAGGTGACCAGGTGTACAGGTGAGGTGTACAGGTGACTGGTGTAAAGGTGACAGGTGACCAGGTGTACAGGTGAAGTGTACAGGTGACAGGGTGTACAGGTGACCAGGTGTACAGGTGAGGTGTACAGGTGAC